CATGATCCCAGGGTCCTGGGATCGAGCCCCAAGTCGGGCTCCCTGCTCCGCGGGGAGCCTGCTTCTCCCTCTGCCTGCCGCTCCCCCTGCTTGTGTGCTCTCTCTCTGACAACTACATAAATAAAATCTTTAAAAAAAACAAAACAAACCAAACAAAAAACGTATTTGTAATAATCTGCTCCCTGCTTGACGCCGGTGTGTGCAAACCCCAAGGGTGGGGAGGATGGACACCAGGGGCTGCAGCCCGGCCCGGCCTCTGCGGGGAGGCTCTGGAGCGACACACAGGCCCAGGCCCAGGCAGCAAAGAAACCTCCTCAGCTCCATCCCCTGACCGGAGCCGCCCACCCGCACACAGGCGATCACCCACGGTGAGCAGACAGCGTGCCCACAGAGGGCCCTGCGGGAGAGGCCGCAGCCTGCTTACCCAGCACGGTGAAGCAGCGCAGCACCTCCTTTTGGTTGCTCACCACCAGGGGGCTGGATGACTCCACGGGCACGCAGATCTGCTCCAAGGACAGAGGACGGACACGAGTCACAGGGGAACGCTGCTGCCTCCCAAGGGCCCCACCAGCCACGGGGCCCGGAGAGACTGCCCAGGCCTCGTGGTTTCTACCTCCAGCACTTCCTTGGGGTGACACAGACGTGCACGCCCGCCATCAGGGGCTGGTTCAGGGACCCAAGCCTCAGCCCTCGCGGTCTGGCCCTCATGTCTCCAGGGAACCGAGTCCTGGCCCCTTCCCACCACAGCCAGGACACAGTGTCACACGGGCTCTGGGCACGGGCTGGAGACCACTAATCTCTAGGATATAGAAAGCACTGGAAACCGAACACCTAGTGCTGATTCATTCAAAATTGTAAAAAAAAAAAAAAAAAAAGTTGCATTGGTTAAAGTAAGAGCTGAAGCCGTTGGCAGATGTGACTCTAGGGTCCACTGCACCTCAGCGGGTGACACGGAAGCCCCCAGTCACCCGGGGCTGAGCTCTGAGGTGGCATCCCCGTCCTGCCCCCCCCCAATGCCCAGGGTCAGGGTCATGGCAAAGGACACCAGCAGGGCCTCTGTGCAAAACGTTCAATGGCAATTCCTGAGTACAGCAGAAGAGGTGACCAACAGTACAGAGCGAGTCCCCAGGTCCACAGGCTCTGCCCCAGGCTGGACCCTGCTGGCACGCGGAGAGCTGCGGGAAGTGGGTGAGGGGCAGACACTGGCCCCAGGTTCCCGGGGAGTTCCTTGCTCTTCCCACTGTAAAGACCTCATCTGGTCACGAAAGGCAGCGCAGCGGGCTCTCCCTCTGGGGGAGGCCGATTGCCAAGTCGTGAGGACGCGCAAGCAGCCCCGTGGCAAGGAACCAAGGCCTCCAGCCAGCAGCCCTACGAGGGCACCCCACCTGAGACCCCAGCCTCAGCCGAGCCTTCAGACTGTCACCACACGAGACCCCGAGCCAGAACCACTCGGCTGAGCCGGGACTGGACCCTGCACAGTGGCCGCAGAGCAACCCGCGGCCGCCTCATAAAGGTACCCCGTTCCAGAATCACTGGCTACATGGCAGGAGATAACTAATGCGAATGGGTGGTCGTCTGGAGAGCAGAAAAAGTTGGATTCTCACTCACAGTTTCCCTAAAATAAGTTCCAGGTGGATTAAACAATAAAAGTGTATTAGGTAATAGGAGGCTCTGAAAAACAGTTTGCGGGCGCCTGGGTGGCTCAGTCGTTAAGCGGCTGCCTTTGGCTCAGGTCATGATCCTGGAGTCCCGGGATCAAGTCCCGCATCGGGCTCCCTGCTCGGCGGGGAGTCTGCTTCTCCCTCTCCCCCTGCTTGTGTTCCCTCTCTCGCTGTGTCTCTCTCTGTCGAGTAAATAAATAAAATCTTTAAAAAAAATAAATAAATAAAAACTAGAATGAGGGGCACGTGGGTGGCTCAGTCGGTTAAGCATCTGACTCTTGGTTTCAGCTCAGGTCGTGATTTCAGGGTCGTGGGATGGAGCCCCGTGTCAGACTCCGTGCACAGTGCAGACTCCGCTTGGGATTCTCTCTCTCCTGCTCCCGCTGCCCCTCCCCCTGCTTGTGTGTGCGCTCTAAAATAAATAAATCTTAAAAAAAACCCAAAAAACAGAATGGGATACGACACACATCTACCAAAATGGCTGAAGTTAAAGACTGCAGGTGTTGGCAAGGGCACGAAGCAATGTTGCTCACATGCTGCTTGTGATAATAAGGCGTGGGGTACAAACTGTACAACAAAATAGTTTTACCAACTGAATTTGAACATACACACACGTTATGACCCAAAACTCTACCCCTAGGCATACGATCAACTGAACAAACATGGGAAAAGTGTTCCTGGTAGCATGGTGCATCCTAACAGAAAACACAGGGAGAGAGGGACTACAGCTTAATTCACTGGGATGCTTCACAGAAAGAAGTGACTGAGCTGCACTACACAAATAAATTTCACACACAGAATATTGAGGGAAAGAAGCCAGTTACAAAGTAATTCACACACTCAGGTCCTATCTACACCACAAGCCAGAAATCCGGTAGGGGCTCCAGGCCAGAGCCGAATCCTCACAGGCATATGCAGGGAGTCGTTATGCTGAAGAGTAAACACGTGTGCTTTTTGTATGGGTGTTATACTTTAAAATAATAATAATGCGGCTCAGGTCATGATCCCGGGGTCCTGGGATCGAGTTCCGCATCGGGCTCCCTGCTCAGTGGGGAGCCTGCTTCTCCCTTTTCCCTCTGCCTCTGCCACTCCCCCTGCTTGTGCTCTCTCTCTCTCTCTCTGACAAATAAATAAAATCTTTAAAAATAATAATAATAATGCATGACGACACTATTAATTTTCTAAGGTGTACTAGACAGGGAAAAAGCATGTTTTTGAATTATGTCATTTGGTAAGAAAAAGTCTACTTCCTTGACAAAGTACAGCATCCTTTTTTTTTTTTTAAAGATTTTATTTATTTGACAGAGAGAGACATAGTGAGAGAGGGAACACAAGC